TCCATTCTTGGGACCATGGGGAATATTTATGATTATGGGAGGATGTGTGATTGCGTTGCTTGGTACATGTTTTATTCTCTTGCGGGCAGTACTTTAAAGGGTGGGGTGAACTCCATTGACATGTGACCTGCACTGCTTCTGTCTAGTGAAGATCCTGTGAAGGCCACGACAGGCCACCTGATACAGAACTGGGAAGATCTCTGTGGGTCACTAAACAAAGAATAGGCCAGCGAAGTAGAGGACCCAACCTCTCTCACCTTTCAGATTTGTCATAGGCCTGAAATTGTTGCTTGGTTACTCCTGGCCCCTATGGGATTTCCTCCCCTTGAAAGACCCTGGGGCAGTGAGGTGCGCATGCACGCGCGCGCGCACACGCACAAGTTGCAGGAAGCTCCAGCATTGTCATGAAGCATGGGATTTGGGAGCTGGACAGTTCTGGGTTTTCATTCTACTACTTAGGAGAGTGAGCCTGTTTCCTCACATTTTAAAAGCACTACACCAACACCTTCACTTGCCCCAACAGAGCACTCACATGTGGCTAGACACTTTCTCTACTTATTTCATTTTAATCCTCCCACCAACCAAATGAAGTTGTCCTGATTATTGTCCTGATTTTCTGGAAACAAAACAAAACAAAACTTGAGGCTCAGGAAATTTCTTGTCTAAGTTCACACAAGCGGTTGAATTCAGAGGTAAACATAGGCATTCAGCTTCCCAACCCCCAGTACATATGCCCCTTGGTGGCTGGGACCAGCCTCATCATCATGCCAGAGGGCGTCATACTGCACAGCTGGGTGATTACTTACCTGGGGTCCTCTCCTGCCAAACCTGGAAGACGCACACCGCCTTCTTCACCCAGGAGGCTTACTGCCCCCACCCCCCAATGCAGAGGAGCTGTCTGATGTCCTATTAAGGGAGGGCCTCCCCTGCATCTGAGCTCAATGCTACTCGCTCCCAGCAGGTGTTCACCAAGCAGGACCGTGAATGCAGGAGGCCGGTATCCATGACCGTTCGTCAGTTCACTCTCAGCACTTAGCCCAATGCCTGGCACACTGTAGGTGTGCAATTAAACGCGTGCTGAATGAAGCACTCAAGCCTCCCACCTCTTAAGTGGGAGGGGAAAATGGGTGCAGTGGTATTTGTGAGGCAACTGGACCTCATAATAGCCCCAAGCATCTGGGATCACTGGTGCTTCTAGCGATCCAGCTCCAGGGAGCCAGTCTTGGTTAAAACGGGGCCTTGAAGGAGACTGCAACCTTGCTCTGATCAGGAAGGGCAATGATGCAACACAGCCTTCCAGGGCCATGGGCCCGTTGAGGAGCAGGCTGACGGGCATCAGGAGGTGACAGTCATTTTGAAAATTGACAGCTGACTCTCCTCAAGTCAACGTGATATGGAAAAGTTGAGACCTGAAGGTAGCATCTTCCACCGTGATAGGGGTCTTCCTAAATGCGCGGGTGCCTTGTGATTCCAGATACCCCTGCCATGCCCATCTTCCACAGCATCCCTGCTCCCTGTTTTGAAACCCAGCTTGCTAACATGCATTCTTTACTCCAGAACCTGAACTTTTTACCTTTTGGAGTCAAAGGCCACTTCAAAGCTCTGATGAAACTAGGAACCCTCTCTCCGGATAAATATTCATATGCATATGCACAAAAAACATTGCACACACCTAGGATCCCCAAAACAACCATGGCCCCAGCCCCCCCTACAAACCTAGCCTCATGCCGGACTTAAGGCCCAGGAAAGGAAGAGACCCTCTAAGCTGCAGCAGAGAGCCTGGGATGGAGTAAGGACAGTCTGTCAAAATGTTCAGGGAACCTGGACTTTAAATTTGGATCACTGCTCTTGTGAATTCAGCAAATGAAGTAATAGACGCTAAAAGCACTACACAATTACACTAACGGTTGCAGTCCCCCAACCCAGCCTGGAGGGCAGTAAGCTCGAGCAGGTGACAAGGACAGAGAAGGAGGCCCTGTTCCTCCTTCCCTAGGCATGTGCTCTTGTGCAAGGCCTCTCCCAGGTTTCAATTCTTACTTTCTGTAGGGGGCACCTAGGGGAAGGGGTATTGGGTGCAAGAGAGTATGACCAATGGCAAAACCCGCCTGTCCTCCATTCTAGCGGTTATCCTGGGCAAGGCTGTCAGCTTTCTCGGTTGTAAAACAGGGATAACAGTGCCCACCTCCAGCAGTGTTGTCACCATTTGTCACCGTTAAGGACGGTGAGGGCAAAGGCCCGTCACACTAAGCCAGCTAAATATAGGCTGCTCTTAGCATCATTGTCCAGCTTTCAGGAAGCCTTGGGATTAAAAAAAAGAACGCATGTGTGGATACCTTGTTATCGTTCTAATGAATTATTCAGTACCTCGTGATGTGGGCAATTGCCACATTTTTAAGTGAAGAATGAAATCTTCAGAATGGGGACCAATGCTCCCACCCAACCTCACTCTCAAATGCAGACGGAGGTGAGAACGAATGAAGAGCCCGCAAGTCGCCATCCGCGAAACTGTCTTTACTAACAAAACCAAAGAACCCCACACACTTTTTGTGGCCATCAACTTTTTTTTTCTTTCAAATTTTAAAATGGTATTGTGCACACAGTTTTTAAATTTAGACACATTTTGGAGATCACAAACAAATCAAGAGATCACTGTGAGATGTTCTGAGATCTGAATTCCAACACTTAGAATTACTGAACCGACTTCCATTAAGTCTTCTGTTCCTTGAAGTGGATGCCGCTTCTTCTCTGCCTTCAGGGACTGACCCTGGAACCGTCCCTTCTGCAGCAGCTACGTAACAGGTGCTAGGAAGGGGGGTAACGTAGAGTCCGAGAGCTGCGCATCTGTTAACATCTAGTGGGTAAGCAGGAAGGCGTCAACCCGGTTGACTTAAAGAAGGAAACCCCATAAATAAAAGCTCCATTTATTCCACAAACACTTTATCTTTCCCTCCGTACATTAGTTGGAAAGAAGGCTGACACTTAACTTCTCATAGATGGTGAGATGCCCAGGTAAGCGAGTGAGTCTCCCTTGCTGTTTCTGGTCTGGAGACATGTGCCCAGAATCAGGGGCTTTGACGTGCTCCCCCTGGCTGAGGCAGGATGTACTGGGGGTGTCTGGGGGCAACCCCTGTGCAGTCCCACTGGCTTCCCCTGAGGAATTAAGTTTGGGCAAAGCTGTTAGCCGAAGCCTTGAGGCAGGCAAGACCTCCTAAGCTGTGTGTGTGTGGTTTGGAGGAGGTGGGCGGCAAGGGAGGGAGTGTGGGCTCTCCTGCCAAACAGTCCCCCTCAACTGATTCAGGACGGCATATCCTGACTTTAGGAATGGGGTACTGGGCTGCCTGAGAAGTACTGGGCAGGCCCAGGAAGTTGGTTAAAATATAACCATGAGCATTTATGCCCACGGAAGCCATCTACCTAACTTGAGAGAAGATAGTCATGACTTAGAAACAGTGTCTGCAATGAAGGCATCCATGAGGCTTCATTTAGAAAATGAAGGTCCCGGGGCGCCTGGGTGGCTCAGTTGGTTAAGCGTCTGCCTTCGGCTCAGGTCATGGTCCCGGGGTCCTGGGATCGAGCCCCGCATCGGGCTCCCTGTTCTGCTGGAAGCCTGCTTCTCCCTCTGCCACTCCCCCTGCTTGTGTTCCTTCTCTCGCTGTGTCTGTCAAATAAATAAATAAAATCAAAAAAAAAAAAAATGAAGGTCCCATGTTTGGCTGCCAGGCCCACAAAGAAGGTTCAGCAACACCTGACGAACTGCATATGCATGAAGATTTGTCTTCTGTGTGGATATTCTTGCTCTTTTATGAAAGGAGTGGAAACTAGGGCTGATAAGTGATTAGACAGACCCTTACGGACAAGGACCAGACCAGCAGAGAAACCTATCTAGGCTTTTATGACCCGTGCCTTAGCTCACAAGAGGAGAAGTGCCTGGAAAGTCCTAGGCCACTGGTACGGTGATGACAAAACTCTTCTAAAACCTGAAATCCACACGACAGGATTATTGAGAATATGCTAATCCAAATTAATGTCCATCTTTTTAGATAAAACAGGTCAGGCAGATTAATAGCACAATTTTCTTGGTTAGATTATGTTTCCCGTATGTATAAATGCAGACTAGTCCTTTTATTGCTTCATATATTTCAATCAGATGTGAGATTTCAATGACCAAAAATGACCGTATTCCTCCCAAATTTACACTGAGATAACTTATTAAATTTTGAAGTAAGTGTAATTGCAGGGACATGGCAACAAGTGAATATCTGCTTATCTCCATCTGGAATTTTATCCACTGAACTTATAATAGGTTATGATGATGATAAAATTGAGGTGTAGTCTGTTTTAATAATGTAAGCCAAATCTAGAACTGCCAATGCTTAGTCATCCCTACTTGATTTACAATATGGTCATGGCAAGGCTTCCCTTGGGTGTTTTCTGGTATCATGAAGTCCACCGCCCAGGGCACTGGCTGGTTTGGACTGGGACTGACAGGCGCCTCTGGAACTCCACACAGGTTCCCGGAACTTCAGCTGAGAACAGAGCGCCCCAGTAGAGCTGCGATGCATGCCCTCTGGCTTCTGAAAAACACTAAGGGTGAACAAAACACAAAGAGGGAGCGGAGTGTCTGGCGACCTGGTGCAAAGGCTCAACCCACACCCCCCACCCCCAACCATTCCAGCCAAACCCCCCTCTTAATCTGTCTTCTTTCTTTTCGGTTTTAGGAATGGTCTTTCCCTCGTGCTTGTCTGAAAGGTACTCACAGAGAGTGCTGACAAAGTATCATGAGGATATCACCTTAGAGACGCTTTGTGGTATATGAGAGAGACACCGCCTGCCTATTCCCCGTCTGTCAACACAGGAGACCCGTCCCTTGAAATCTTATATACAGAGAAGTGGCTGCCGCCGTGCTCTCGTGTGCGGTCGGCTCCGGGCTCGTGGGGAGGGAAGGGCTTTCTGTTTGGAACAACTTACACCTATAGACAATGCACACCAAGAAACATGCAAATGCTACAGAAGGCCGGAGGTGAAGAATTCATATTTTACACCAGTGAGGGGAACACTGTTACAAAACGCTGACGGGATGGTTTCTGTCATTCATGCTCTAACTTGAGGGTCTTTGCAACAAAGGGGGCCCGTGAAGGTGTCTGCTTCTCTCTCTCTCTCTTTTTTTTTTTTTTTTTTTGGCCTTCTTCAAGATTCACAGTTGGTTCTGTGTCAGGCACTAAGCAATCTGGCTTTTGGTCCAAACAGGTGTCTTAGTAGTCTCTTTACATCTTTTTGTTCCTCTGCGAAGGAGCAAGTTCAAATGCTGGGAACTGGGATGTCTCCGGTGCCAAGATGTCGGAGAGAAAGTGAATCGCGCCAGCCATGCCTGCAACACACAACGTGGATCCTTTTATTCAAGGGCATTAGGGGAGCGTCTGAAACAAAGTGACCTGTAATCACTGCCTGTACCAGGGGCGACAGGGATGATGGAAAAGGTGATGGGGACTTTACAAATGACTTCATAAAAAAACAAAACCAAAACCAAAAAAAAAAACACAAAGAAATCCTTATATTAGCACCCAGCAGATAACAATACCAGTTGTTCTTCCCTTTTTTTTTTTTTTTTTAAATTGGGTTCTGGGCTTTAATCTTGTATCTTGCAACTCTAAGATGATCTCATAGAATGGCCACCTAAAAAGTTACGGGTGCTGCTATTGTGCTATTTCAACTATAAAACTTCCTCTCTCAGAGCTTTATTCCTAGTCCAAACAAAAAGGTAGCATTTTGTATCTTCTTTGAATTTTAAGAATGCCACTTTAATTTTTAAAAACTTTTTAAAGTTTAATTCCAGTAGAGTTAACACACTGTATTAGCTTTAGGTGTACGATGTAATGATGCAACACTTCTCTCCGTTCCTCGGCGCTCCTCACGTGTACTCTTCAGCCCCGTCACCTGTTCCCCGCCCACCTCCCCTCCGGCAACCTTCAGTTTGTTCTCTGTAGTTAAGAGTCTGATTCTTGGTTTGTCTTTCTTTTTATCCCTTTCTTTTGTTTCTTAAATTCCACATATGAGTGAAATCATATGGTGTCTTTCTCTTAGTTTGCTTTAGTACAATACTGTCTAGGTCCATTTATGTTGTTGCAAATGACAAGATTTCATTTTTATGGTTGAATAAATATTCCATTACACACACACACACACACACACACACACACACACACACACACACGAATGCTACTTTAAAATGAACTTTGTTTTCGAGGCGCCTGGTTGGCTCAGTTGGTTAAGCATCTGACTTCAGCTCACGTCATAATCTCAGGGTCTTGGGATGGAGCCCTGTGTTGAGCTCTGTGCTCAGGGGTGAGGTGTGTGTGTGTGTGTGGGGGGGAGAGTCTGTTTGTCTCTGCCCCTCCCCCTGCTCATGCTCTCGCTGAGACTCAAATAAATAAATAGAATCTTAAAAATAAATAAAATGAACTTTGTTTTCATCGAAATCCCCACTGCAAATCACTGTAGTCTGCACCAAGATCGGGCTTTAAATAGACCTACAGGAAGGTGGGCGAGGAAGCCTGCGAGCTGGCTGGCTCCAGCCTCTAGGCCCCTTATCTCCCTTTTCAATCAGAACAATTCCTCCCTTATTGGATTTTTGTTTATAGCTTTTCTTTTGACGTAAAATTTACATGCCCCGAAACACCCAAGTCCTCAGTGGACTCCTCTGAGTCTGACAAATGCACACACTTGTGTAAATCAAACTCCTATCAAGAGATATGGACTATTTCCATCGCCTCCCCACTCTGTGTCCCTCTCTAGCTTACCCCTGCCGCCATCCCGAGCACGGAGTAGTCTGGCCTGTTTCAGAATGTCCTTTGAATGGAACCCCACAGTATATATAGCCTGCTCTGTGTGGTTTCTTCCCTCAATGATTTTGCAATTCATTCACATTTTGTGTGTGTCATTAGCTGTTTTCCTACATTTTGGTTGTTCTCAGACTAACCCTGTAAGTTTTTGTTTGAAGAAAGGGTTCCAGTAGCTTAAGAAATCTGAAAAACACTGACTTATTAGAACCTATTACAAAAAGACGATGACCCATGACACCCTAGAGTGGTCCATTTGTTTTCCTGTTTTGGTGGGGTGGAGCAGCAGATTGACCTCGACGGAGCGCTTGGACAGGAGAAAGCTCCAGAAGGGGTTACCGGTGTCAGTGACCCTTTCAGCCTAGTCGCCTCCACAAAGGCACTAGAAGTACTCTCCACCCACCCCACAAGGATCTACCTAGAGCCCACTTCCAGGCACTTGGGAGGCATAGGGGAACAGATGAATCTAACTTCCCAGCCTTTAGGAAGTTGTACATTCAAAGATTTTGACCTACTCGGACTTTGGAGCTGCCATTAATAGACCTGAATGCACTCCACTGAGAGTTCAGGTATTAACTCTGTTCTATCTAATGCAAATACACTGCATTTTAATGATGTAAAAGACTGAAATTTTTTTCTGAGGATTATTTTTTCATTATGACTGCTTTGAATATTAAAAGGATATTAATCTGCAAAAGATAATGGCAAGTGCTCTATTTTCTGCTTATATTTCTAATATGTGATTAAAAAATATACCCAAGAGCAGAAGCAGAATAGGGCCTATCACTACAGATAATTCAGACATCAGAAGGGAAATAAAGGATTAGCTTTACACACATCAACTTGACACGTAGGTGAAACAGAACAATGTCTCAGAAATACAAACTACTGAAACTTACCATATGTGAAATGGATAACTTGAACAGCCCTATAAACTAGTCCCCACCCAAATCTCTACTCCAAGGTTTCACTGGAGAATTCTACCAAACATTTATGTTAGAATCAACACCAATTCTTCCACCAAGTAATACATTATCTGTTCCAGAAAACAGAAGAGCAAAGGATACTTCTCAATACCGTTTATTAGGTCGGTATTACTCTGATGCCAAAAGCAGGCAAAGATAGTACAAAAAGGGAAAACTCTAGGCCAAATCCCTCATTAATATAGATGCAAAAATCCTCAACAAAATATTAGCAAATACAATTCAGCGATATATAAGAAGACCAAGTGAGGTTTATCCCAGAGATGCAAGGCTGGCTTAATATTTGAAAATCAACCAATATAATCCACAATGTTAATAAAGAAGGAAAAAAAATTCACACGATCGTTATCAACTGATGCAGAAAAAAGCATTTGACAAAATTCAACACCCATCTATTGTTTGATTTTTTTTAAAAAATATTCAATCATTTATTCCTTTTGAAGTTTACTTTGGAATTAGTACAAGATGTAGCTCTAAAGTAATCAAAAGTTATCACCAATTTATCCTAATACCATTCAACCTTTGCCCTTTGATTTCTGTGGCTTACATTACAAATTATCTAATTCACACACAGAGGCACACACACAATATAAATACAAAAAATGTATGAGTCCTCTCTGTAGGGTTTCTATTTTGTTTTCCTGAATTATAGTCTATATACGGTGCTTTGCAGCAGACTTAACTGCGTTTGCTCATTTCCTGTCTTTGCTTGTTCTTGAGTATGCTACTATTTTTTCCAACTACCTATTTTCCTAACTACTAATACTTTTAAGTTACTAATATCAATTAGTCATAATATATATCTGAAATAATTAAACATTATTTAAATAACTAAACAAGTTTCCTGTGAATAGATCAATATTATATACACAGTGTTATAGACAAAATGCAGAGGAGTAACCTTATTATTTCTTCTATTACTGAGTAGCAAACATTCTATGTTGTCTGCACATATTCTTCAGAAATATTGGAAGGACGCTCACGGGTGCACGAAATAGGTAAGGCACAGAGACTCGACATAATTTTCAGCGATAAACTACTTTGTTCACAGTTGTTTTACAGTTGTGGAGTTATTACTCAAAGAAGGGCAAATGCAATAGGGCCAGTGCAGAGACACACAGAAGGACCAAATTCACTCACCCAGGTATTTAAACCTAGCGTTTTCTGCTCACACTTACCTTCAAAGAGAGAGTAGGGTCTGTCGGGGATGCGGCACCCATGTGCTCCATATTCTAGACACCACTCTGCAAACTAAGAGGAAACATATTTAAGAGCAGAGATTTCACTTGGTGAAAAGGCAGCAAATGAGACACTGCAGTGAATTCACCAAGCACTCAAGGAAAAGGATTCCCGGGCAAAGGGTACTGCTGGGCCAGGAGAAACAGGGGAGACCACAGAGCTGGGAGAAAGCAGTTAAGAGAAGGAGAGGAGCTGTAGTTCTGGATTTTGTGCGTGCTCTGGGGTATTCCAAAGTTGTCTCGATAAAGACTCCTTACTTTGCTCCCTGCTCGGCAGGGAGTCTGCTTCTCCCTCTGACCCTCTTCCCTCTCGTGCTCTCTCTCATTCTCTCTCTCAAATAAATAAAATCTTTAAAAGAAAAAAAAAAAGACTCCTTACTTTGCAAGCTCGGTAGAGATACTTTTTCTCCTGCGTGAGATGGTACAGGGACAGGAACGAATAGCCATTCCCGGCCGTCCCGTGGCAGATCCCATAGCCCTTCCGAAGCAAACCTCGCTGCCAAATGACATCACTACACTCCATGGCATCTTTCAAGTATTTCTCCTCCTTAAAGACCTGCGCAGTGGAAAGCAAAAGAGTGTGAGAAAGATGTTTTCGATCACGAGTTAGCCAAACAGCTTCCCTTTCTGGCTAGTCAATGACGCATCAGGCAACCTGAAACAGCTCTGGGGGTGACCACAACCACCACCAGCAACACCACAGTACCGCACCTCACAACCTTAATCTCCCCCACCTCTTCCCCTCGTTCTCCCAGTTCATGGTTTTGCAAAACTAGTTCTAAAATTTAGCTAAAAAATTAAGACAAAAGCTACCAGAAACCAGGAAGCATTCTGTAATTCCTGGAGCAACATGCCCTCCGGCACTAACACTTACGCTCCTGGTGCAGTCAACTGAGGGACTGATGGTTCCACAATATCCTGTCAGCTAGGTCGAGAATACTCAATATCCTGGGTCAGCCACATTATCAGTAAGACCCTGATGGCCCGGCACTATCGGGGCTGCTGAGACCTGTCATAATCCATCCCACGGAAACCAGCACGAAGCTGCCTGCAGTTCCTGGAGCAGACGTGCCTGGGATGCACAACATACTGGCACGGTCTCCACTGAGTGGTTTCTATGTAAAGAGACAGATGAGCTTGACGAAGACAAAGGCCCAGCAGGAGGAGGCTGTCTGTTTTTGCCTCCTCAAATTCCCTTTTAAATTTTCTTCTCTTTCCCCTCATGTTTCATTTATTTTCTCTAGTCCTTCCCTCAGAATCTGCTGTCAGTAATCTCCACTTGCTTAGCTCATTCCATGCTAGTGTAAATGAATTAGAGGCAAAAGGGTCCTAGAGATGATCTCCTTGGGGGGGGGGGCAAACAGGATTCATCTACCTGTGACTGATCAGTAGTGACCTCACAAAAAAAAAAGAGAGAGAGAGAGATGAAGTATGTGCACCAGTGTACGCAGAGGGTAGAAGGGGAAACAGAGAGACATTTGCATTTCACTCACTATTCCTGATGTAGAATCTATTCACCAGGGTCAGAAGCAAGACTCTTAACTCATGAAAGCAACTGAGACGTGTGCTCTGGGGTTAGACCGCCTGAGTTCGAATCTCAGCTCTGTCACCCGGTAACTGCGCAGCCCGGCCTTGGGCGAGGGGCTCAATGTCTCAGTTTTCTGAACACTAAAAGGGTACTGGTTCTTCAAGTCAGTGGCTTGTTAGGAGTATTAATGACACCAGATCAATCAAATGGGGGAAAAGAAAAGTCTTTCCAAGAAACAATGTAGGAACAATCAGATATCCTGATGCTTACAAAAAAGGATCTCTCTTCTTACATCACATATACAAACCTAATATACAAAATACACATGTAATATATAAACCGTAGTTAGAGATAGCTCACAGTTCTAAATCGAAATCCGTGCAGCTTGGAGAAGAATACTACCTGTATAACCTGTAAGTAAAATTTTGTGACAATTAATAAAGGGAAACCTCACTAAAGTGGAGTTGGGAGGTTAGAAGGGCAAGCCTGCCACTCTACTCAATTCCAGAAAGACTTGTCAATTACAGACCCCAACAGAAGAGGAAACAGGAAAGAATCATCAATTATAGGCCCCAACAGGGAAAAAAGGTTCACCGCATCTCCTACAAGAAATCGACTATCCCTGCAACTCAGCCAATGAGAAACTGTCATGACCCTGAACTCCTGCTTTTTTCCAATGGACTTACATTCAAAACAACCTCTCCCCGACTCCTCCTTCTCCTCCATAAAATAATGTTCATCTCCTTTGTTTGTTGGACTTGCCTACGGTTTTGTCATAGCTTGCATATCCCAAAATGTAATTCTCCGCTATTCCTGAATAAGCCCATTTTGCTGGTAATATAACTGGCTGTTTTATTTTTTTTGGTTAACAATTTCTTAGACAAGACACAGAAAGATATTACCATAAAAAACTTGATAAAACACAGACTTTATCAGAATTAAAAACTCTATTCCTCAAAAGATACCAGAAGGATTACGATTAGGCCAACTACAAAATTATTTCCAGGATCGAGCCCCGCATCGGGCTCCCGGCTCCGCGGGAAGCCTGCTTCTCCCTCTCCCACTCCCCCTGCTTGTGTTCCCTCTCTCACTGTGTCTCTCTCTGCCAAATAAGTGAAAAATCTTAAAAAAAAAATTATTTCCAAAACATCTATCTGACAAAGACTTGTAACCAGAACATAGGAAGAATCCTTACAACTCAATAATAAAAAGATAAAAGACTATAAAACAACGTGGGTAAAAGGAATGAACAGACGTTCAACAAAGCAAGATACATAAATGAGCCATGAACACAAGCAAAATTGCTATCCATTAGAAACTACAATGAAATATCAGCCAGGGTATAATTAAAAAGCCTTTCAGTACCACATGTTGCCAAAGATGTGAACTCTCTTACATTGTTGATGGAACAGCTGTTACTTTGTGAAAAGGTCTGGCAGTTTCTTACACTCACTCTATGATCCAGCAATTTTACTCCTGGGTACTGGTCCAAAAGGAATGAAAACACATGTCTACAAAAAGACCTGTACAAGAATGTTCCAAGCAGCTTATTCATAAGAGTAAAAAACTAGAAACAACTGGAAAACAAATTGATAAAGTGGTAGATTTATATAAGGGATGCTTACACTCAGGAAGGTATCAACCATCTTGAGGAAGAAGGAAAGAAAGTATAATTTGAAAGAATCTCTCCAGCTGATTCTGATATGCACTCCTTCAAGATATTCCATGTTTCAAATAATCAACTTACAAATGAGCTTTTGGAACACTTTATATGAAAACAATTTCTGATGTCTGGTCAATGGCTGACCATTGGAGAGCATTTCTTTCTTTTTTTTTTTTAAGATTTTATTTATTTATTTGAGAGAGAGAGAATGAGAAAGAGAGCACGAGAGGGGGGAGGGTCAGAGGGAGAAGCAGACCCCCCGCTGAGCAGGGAGCCCGATGCGGGACTCGATGCCGGGACTCCAGGATCATGACCTGAGCCGAAGGCAGTCGCCCAACCAACTGAGCCACCCAGGCGCCCTCCGAGAGCATTTCTAATACAGCTCTATTTTGGGGTTTTCAGCATAGGCACGCAAGTACAGGAGTGGGGAAGGTGTGGTGGTTTCCTACTTTATGGAATCAAAAGATTATATCAATATCACTTTGGTATGACTTACATGGTTTTCCTGGGCCGCATATTTGTAAATACCTTTCCAAATACAATTTTCATTTGACCAGTGTTAGCATCTGTTTACGGTGGCTGAATCCACATACTGCTAATGCTGGCAGGCCCATGTGTGTGTAGTTAGAAGGAAGAACTGGTTACCATCACCTGTAGTTTACTGTCAGATAATCAAGAACTGCTCAGCAACATAGGTTCCAGTTATAGGGCCCACAAATGTACTCTGCTAGAAAATCATTTGCAAGTAATATAATTCCTAATATAGCATAGAATATTATTAAAATCCTGACATTTTTCAAGGATCATCTAGAATACAATATAATTTTAAATTAATAGTATATATTCATACAAAGTAAAGTCCACCCAACTAACACACGTGATTAGCATCTCTAGGAAGGGAAAACAAATTAGGTGAAACTAGACTCAATTTATAGTTTTATTTGTGAAGGATATTAATAATTTTGCAAACACTTGAAAACCTTATGTTTTCATCAGCATTCTTGAAGAACTGAGGAGTTCACATGCCAGCAAGAGAAAAGGTTGAAAACTTACATAAAATGCAAGCACTTCCTAATTCTGAGACAGCCTCAATGAATGCAGATATTGCTCTTAATTTGAGTTAACAATAACTTGAGAGAAAACTGACCCTCGAGCTGTGTTTCTCTAGCTTTGCATTTCCACCCCACCCCCTACCCTGTCTCTGCCCACCCCACCCTCCACCTTGGCCGAACACCAATCTCACACGTCACTCATATATTGTAAAATTATATTATTTATGCCTTTTTAAATTACCACTGAAGCCTTCTGCCCCCAAAGATTCTGATATTCCTTGCCTTCCTCGTGTTTGAGAATCTTGATGTAAATGGACAGAATTAAGTTTTAGTGACTAAGTATGGGATCGTAATGTCTTTGCTCTATGCTTAAGAGAAGAGGGAACTTGCTGTTTCGGAAGAAGTAAGGCAGGGACAGACATTCCGATGATATTCTGAGCCAAAGCCGGATAGGCAGCAGCTGCTGGGAGGCATCTGTGGTACTGCCGCGAGCAGGTCCTGACTGCCGCGAGCAGGCTCTGCTATGGGTGGTTTGTGTGCTCCCCGTGTGACCAGCGGCCGTAGAAACAGACGGCATGACTGCCAACGGGGCTAGGAGAAATGGATCTCCTTAGGCTGATGGCCCCACTGGACGTGCTGGCTCCCAATTACCTGCTTACCGCTGGCTCGCGGGGGAGGGGGGAGGACGGACGGGACCCTCAGAAGCCGAGACCGTTGGCCACCAGGAGGGCCCACCTGCACTGCTTGCCCTCCTTAATGTGAAAGAGCAAAAGGCGTCTGACAAACAAAAGCTTTCACTTTTTCTCGAAGTCATACATCTGTTTTAAATATCGAAGGGTCCTTGTTTGTCAACAATATACTCGTCATGGTTGGACAATTATAACATTAGAGACTTATCTCGATGTCACTGAAGTTACAACAATCATTCTAAGGCTCTAAAAAAGGGAGGCACTGATTTGAACAGAATTTTATTTTAATTTAAAGACTGAGGTATTGGACGCCTGGGTGGCTCAGGTTGGTTGAGCATCTGCCTTCGGCTCAGGTCATGGGCGCAGGGTCCTGGGATCGAGCCCCCGCATCCGGCTCCCTGCTCAGTGAGGAGTCTACTTCTCCCTCTGCTCCTCCCCCTCCTCGTGCTCTCTCTTAAACGAATAAATAAAATCTTAAAAAAAAATCAAAATAAAAATAAAGACTGAGGTATTGTTAAGAAGATGAATCCTTAAGTTCTTTTGATTTCCAAAGAGTATATTTCACTATGCTTTTTCTTTTTATCATAACTTTCTGAGTTATTTCCTTAAATGCTCATACCTGACTTTTGTATTTGAATATCTTAGGTGTTACTCTTGTAGGAGGACTAAAAAATTCTGAAAAATTAGGCAAAATCATGAGATTCCCCACAATTTTTCTCAATTATTATGGTTAGTCACAAAGGGAAAATAAAATTGATTCGGGGATTAGTTCTTTTGTTATTTCCAGGTAGAAATATGAATTCTGCTTCATTAATTCTATCTATTTCTACAAAACTAAGAGACTTTGCCAAAACACTAATCAATCATTGTGGTTACTGTTATATACTTTGATATATGAACAACACCTCCAACATCAAATATTACAAATAAAGATGCATTAAAAAGATAAAATTACAAAAGAAGCATTATTTACAATCCAATTAAAAAATGGGCAGAGGACCTGAATAGACACTCTTGCAAAGAAGACATACAGATGGCTAGCAGACAATGAAAAGATATTCAACATCACTAATCAGATTAGCAGGGAAGTACAAATCAAAATCATAATGAGATGTCATCTCACACCTGTTGGAACGGCTAAAATCAAAAAGACAAGAAATCACAAGTGTCGGAGAGGATATGGAGAAAAAGAAACCCGTGCACACTATTGATGGGAATGAAAATTGGTGCAGCCACTGTGGAAAACAGTATGGAGGTTCCTCAAAAAGTTAAAAACAGAGATAACATACGATCCATTAATTTGACTACTGGGTATTTACCCAAAGAAAACAAAAACACTAATTCAAAAAGATATATGCACCTCTGTTTATTGCAGCATTATTTATAATAGCTAAGATATGGAAACAACCTGAATGTGCACTGACAGACAAATGAATAAGATGTGGGGTGTGTGTGTGTGTGTGTGTGTGTGTGTGTGTGTGTGTGTGTGTGTTTGTAATATATCACTCGGCCATAAAAAAGGATGAGATCATGCCATTTGGTACAACATGGGTGGACCAAGAGGGTATTATGCTAAGCGAAATAAGTCAGACTGAGAAAGGCAAATACCATAAGATTTCATTCATATGTGGAATCTAAAACAGCAAAATGAATAAACAAACAAAAAGCAGACTCATACCTGTAAATACAGAGAACAAACTGATGGCTGTTGCGGGGGCTGGGCAAAATGGGTGAAGGGAGTAGTAGATACGGGCTTCCGGTTATGGAATAAATAAGTCACAGGAATAAAAGGCACAGCATAAGGAATATAGTTAATGATACCGTAACAGCACTGCATGGTGACAGATGGTGGCTACGCTTGTGGTAGTCACAGCATAACGTATAAACTTGTAGAATCACTATGTTGTACATTTGAAACTAATACAACATTGTGTGCCAACTACATTCAAATAAAAACATTTTTTTCAAGATTTTATTTATTAAGAGAGAGAGCGAGCCTGAGGGGAGGGGCAGAGGCAGAGGTAGAAGCAGGCTCCCCGCTGAGCAGGGAGCTCAACGCGGGGCTCAGTCCCAGGACTTTGGGATCATGACCCAAGCCAAAGGCTGACGCTTAACCGACTGAGCCACCCAGGCGCCCTCAAATAAGAAATTTAAAAAATAAAACCAAATGTGGCATAGTCTTCTAAAAAACTTGCTTGAAAACACTGTTTTCTTTAAACGTGAATTATTTTTCCAAGAAATGTTAAAAAACTTAAATGTTACAGGATACAGTAAAGCTGTTTGTAATTTCAACTTCTATGTAATAAAATATTAAGAGAACGCATTTGTGGGGCGCCTGGTGGCTCAGTTGGTTAAAGCGACTGCCTTCGGCTCCGGTCATGATCCTGGAGTCCCAGGATTGAGTGCTCCCATCAGGCTCCTGGCTCAGCAGGGAGTCTGCTTCTCTCTCTGACCCTCCCCCCTCTCATGCTCGCTCTTTCTCTCTCTTCTTAAAGAAAAAGAAAACACATTTAAAGACAACTAAAAAAAAAAAAAAGAAGCATTGTTTGCTTTCAATTTACAAGGTTAATTCTTAGTCCAGGAGAAAAATCGAATGCATTCTTAATATTGTGCCCAAATAGTATCTTGAGACTACCAGAATTATTCAGTAAAGGGACTGCCTATTTTTCTATAATACCCCATATGTGTAAAACTTTGAACATCACACTTCTCCCTTATGAATAATTTTATAACAATTTTAAACTCAAACTTAAAGGGCCCCAAATAAGCATCCTCATCCAACAATAAAGGCTTATTCAACCAAGAAAATAAATGACGTGAAGTCAAACAAAAAAGCGCTTAGTTATAATAGTGCCTACTGTCTTCTCGGATATTCACACGCAGAATAAAAATCATTACTATGCTGTCCCCCAGGTTTTCTTTTTACATATGAATATAATCCCTGTTAAAACACACGTACATACCCTTACAGCTCCAACTACAGGGATGATAAAGTGAAACAGGGAGACTTTACTTTGTAAACACATTAATTCAAAAAGGTTTTTAGTTTGCAATCAAATGTGCTGGCCAAAATCAAACTCAGAACCTGGTGGAGAAAAGTGGATTTCTAAACATTAAATGATTATGATACAAATGGAGGTACTGACCTTGTAAGCTTGCATAAGCATGTGGATGACACCTGGTGCACCATGGCACCAGTGGACCAAGCGATCTGTTTCATTGCTTAATGATGACGGATAATTCCCAGATCGGAATCTTTTGTGGCGCACATAATCAATACTAGGTTTCACCATTTCTGTCAAGGTTTCTTGGTCCACTTTTGCTGCCGGCTTTAAAACAAATAAAAAAAACCAAAACATTTATTTTTCCTTAAGTTTTTTTTTAAATTTTGTTACGTTAGTCACCATACATTACATCATTAGTTGTTGACGTAGTGATCCACGCTTCACTGTTTGCATATAACACCCAGTGTTCCACACAGAACACGCCCTCTTTAATACCCATCACCAGGCTAACCCATCCCCCCACCCCCCTCCCCTCTAGAACCCTCAGTTTGTTTCTCAGAGTCCATCGTCTCTCATGGTTCGTCTCCCGCTCCGATTCCCCCTCTTCATTTTTCCCTTCCTTCTCCTAATGTCCTCCATGCTATTCCTTATGTTCCACAAATAAGTGAAACCATATGATAATTGACTTTCTCTGCTGGACTTATTTCACTTAGCATAAAACTCCTCCAGTCCCATCCATGTTGATGTAACAGTTGGGTATTCATCCTTCCTGATGGCTGAGTGATATTCCATTGTACAAATGGACCACATCTTCTTTATTCATTCATCTGTTGAAGGGCATCTCGGCTCTTTCCACAGTTTGGCTATTGCCGACACTGCTGCTATGAACACTGGGGTGCATATGGCCCTTCTTTTCCCTACATCTGTGTCTTTGGGGTAAATACCCAGGAGTGCAATTGCTGGGTCGTAAGGTAGCTCTATTTTTAATTTTCTGAGGCACCTCCACACTGTTTTCCAAAGTGGCTGTACCAACCAGCATTCCCACCAACAGTGTAAGAGGGTTCCCCTTTCTCCACAACCTCTCCAACATTTGTTGTTTCTTGCCTTGTCCATTTTTGCCATTCTAACTGCTGTAAGGTGGTATCTCAGTGTGGTTTTGATTTGAACTTCCCTGATGGCTAATGATGATGAACATTTTTTCATGTGTCTCTTAGCCATTTGTATGTCTTCTTTGGAGAAGGGTCCTCGACTTGCTAGCTTTGTGATTTTTGAGCATTAGTCACTCTGTTATGGGTGTGGTCGATAAAGAAAGGCTTAATTGGGGGGGACAAAAAAAGTCTGTGTACCCAGCAGGGAAGGGCACCACGGGCCAAAAGGCTGGAAGCAGGCTGAAGCACGATCTGGGGTGGAGTCTCTGCCCGCTTGACGGATCGGGGACTACTCAATTCACGCAATGTCAGGCATGACTGAGAGACAAGATCACAACCACAACAATAAACTAGTTGAAAGTTTAGAACACAACCGAAAGCAAGTTGGGGGTATGTGAATAGGACAAAGTCCCTGCCTCAGTCGGGATCCTGGAGGCCCTTTCTGCTCCCTGAAGGTTCCCCTCTATTCAAAGAGTTAACGACTCCGATGAGCAGAAGGACATGGACCGAAGAAAAATGTGGCCACTAGACAACTAACCCAGTACAAAACCACACGTAGAATGTGCTCTTAGGGCACCTGGGTGGCTCGGTTGGTTAAGCGGCTGCCTTTGGCTCAGGTCATGATCCCAGAGTCCCGGGATCGAGTCCTGCATCGGGCTCCCTGCTCAGCGGGGAGTCTGCTTCTCCCTCTCCTGCTCCCCCCTCGTGTGCTCTCTCTCTCTCTCTCTCTCAAATAAAAAAAAAAAAAAATGCGCTCTTAGCACTTCAGTGCTTGGGGTTCACGAAGCAGAGCTTAAGTATCCACGATTCAATGCAGGATCCTTATTTCAGCCTGCTTGACTTATACTAAAATTTCAGTCCCCCTTTCCTATCTGGCCGAATATTTGTATACCATAGTCACTGTATTAGTGTTTCCGAGTACCCTTCTTTACCTGCATTAGCATGTAGTAAATCCCAGCCATGCCGTGAGCCGCTCCAACATACTGCTTCCTGTGCCACTGGTATAGCAGCGGGCAGCGCTCGGCCTTCCTCTCTTCCCTCGACAGAGTCTTGCCGGACTCGATGATAGCACTGACTACCTACGGAGATAAGGAGACAGCATATGCCTAAAGAACTGACGTGTATCCTGCTTTCATCTACTTAACACTAACAATTCTATATAGATTTCTTAACCCAAAAATCTAGAAGCAGTCAGTAGCCACCCCGTTATCTTTAGTTTATAAATTAATAAATACACACAGAGAGAAATCAGAAGACGATCTCAGAAGACAAAAAGAAATTAGGAAGTCAAACCACAACGTTAAAAGTCCTTTGTGTCACAGATCGGTACCTCTGAAGCAAATGATATATTATATGTTAAAAAAAGAAGACAGCAGGAGGGGAAGAATGAAGGGAGGCGGAATCAGAGGGGGAGACGAACCACGAGAGACGATGGACTCTGAGAAACAAACTGAGGGTTCTAGAGGGGAGGGGGTGGATGGGTTAGCCCGGTGATGGGTATTAAGAAGGGCACGCATTGCATGGAGCACTGGGTGTTACACGCAAACAATGAGTCATGGAACACTACATCAAAAACTAATGATGTAATGTATGGTGATTAACATAATAATAAAAAAATAGATTTAAAGAACATTAAAAAAAGTCCTTTGTATGAACAGTTTACTAGAATCTGGAAAAACTTCCTATAAAAACTATCCTAGACTACTTAGTTGCCTTGTAACTGCAATGTTTTCTCCAAAAGACTGGCAGTACATCTTCTAGGAAAGGCTGGAGGAATTTAGCCTTATTTATGAAAGGCTAATGAAATGAGGTCTCTTGTGGCATGTAGATTTTAGTTAAGTCAAAAGAATATCATATCTGTAACGACTATGTAGCAAAGACACGATTGTTCCCTCATATCCTTTCTCCCTCCATACTTTTGGTAACAGTGCTCCAAGTTTTAGCTGGGCGTCTGGCCTCTCAGCTACAGAAAGACACGGTCCTTTGGCTAAGTTCTGGAAGTAGGATGTGAGCAGAAGTGAGGTAGACCACTTCTGGATCGTGGCCTTAAAAAAAAAAAAAAAAAAAGGAAAGGAGCTGCTTACCCTCTACTTTCTCCCCGGTCTTGAGCCGAGGGGTGCTCAATTAGCTATGGGCATGCAGATAAGGGCATGCGCCTAGGATAGGGTAGGAGACAAGAGAAGAACCCAGCTCCTTAGCCATATTCGCTGCGACTGCCTACCAGTACAGATGCTTCAGGAAAGAGAAATAAAGATTCTATCTTTTTGAAGCTGCTGTTGTTTGGTACTAGGAAAAACAGGTGAATTAATAGGCCTAAGAGGAGGACAGATTAAAAAAAAAACAAAACCTTCCTAGAAAGGAAAAAAAAAGCAGCTATTTATTGCTTTTATGAGATGCCTTAAGATTTTACTCCTAGCTAGAAGCAGAGTCCAGCCACTAACATAGCTCTGTGCTAACAGACAGGTTGGGATGGTAGAGACGACAGGATGCCCACGGGCTGACGGCAACCCCACAGTACCTCTTTAATAGCTGACTCACACACGGTGCCCGGACCGATCTCCGTGTTCAGGTAGAGTAAGGCATATAGATAACCTGCCCGTCCATAAAGCAGCTCATCAGGGAGGTCTGAATCTCGGCACACGATGGTCCTCTGGAGCTGCAAAAGTCTACCCAATAAGAAAAATTCTGTTTTCCTGGAGAAATTCCTGTGAAACTCCTCTTCCTGAAACTGTTAGTAACCCTATCACTTTAGAAACTACCTGTTATTTATTTTTAATTTAAAACTGATTCTAAGAAATACAAACAAAACTCAAACAATAAAAACTTCACCACTACACTAATTTCCCTCTCAGACAGCACATTAATAACAACACACCTTTCTGTTCAGACTATCTACCTTGATATCTAGCCTAAACCATGTAAGAGATGATACTCAATTTTGAAATAAGAATTAGAAGAAAGTGATTTCAAACTTAAAAGAAATGAAAAGAAATAGTACTAAAATGTAGTCAATGTTTGGGAATTAGCTTGACTCATTCTTTCAACAAACATCAACTGACTAGCGTGTGCCAGACACTCCACCAGACCATGGGAGTAGGCCCTGATTTCTACTTCGAAAAAGAATATAAACCAATAGGTGCAATAAAAGTTTTACACTCTCTAACTGTCCCAAAACAAAAGAACCTAAAAAATAACTTAGTTAGGACAGTGAATCTAAGGCATAGATACAAGCTAATTTTCATGCAGTGAAGGCAACCAAAAATTATTTAGGAAAAAGAGTAAGGTAACACGAAGAAACATGTCTATTTCTCCCCAGATTAAGGCAGACACAAGCTTGGATAGAAAGGAGGCATGTGATCTCGTTACGCTCAGCGTTAACACACAAACCTCCTTCACCTCTTGGAAAGATCTGTTGGCAACAGCAGATGAATTAAAAAATAATTTCCTTTTTGAATGTCTTTCTACTGTAAGACCTCGAATTGAGAATTTAGAGAAAATACTTCCAGTTTGAAAAACTCACTTAGTGATACATTCCTGGGACTCACAGTCGCTCCTGAGTTTGTGATACACCACAGCTCCTACAGCAAGGGGTCCGGCGTCTCCACAGAGGAAAGTGACCCTGCGGCCATTCAGGTTCCGAAGCGTTCTCTTTACGTAATCCAGGGATCGGAGCAGGTAGGTCTGGTCACACGTGACCCGGTACAACTGCAGGTACAAAAGGGCTATGCCTGGAAAATGCCCCCCCCGGCCCCAAAGAAAAGCATCATTACCTTTCTTTTTCCACCTTCGCGACATTGTTTTATGATCACATGAAAAACTTACATAAACTCTAAGTTTCTGAAGGGGCATCATCAAACAAGTTACATCTGATACATCTTTTAAAAACAGAAAGAGAGAAAAAAAAACCCTTCAGGGTAGAAAAGGCGTAAACCAAGTTTAAATCCATTATCTTGCTAATTGCTCTGTTACAGTGATTCAGTACCTCCTAGACAAGGTAAAATATTAAGACTTCCCACACATTCCCATTTTCTGTACGTTCATTTCAAGATTTTATTCCTTCTCCACTGTATTTTAAGCTAACTTGGATCCTCTTCTTTTTACTTCTCATATAATCATTTCCAAATTAAATCATTACTTTCTAAATTGTACACCCCTTTCTTTCTAATTCTTCTATTTCTCACAAGTTTGCAATCTTCTTTAGTGACCAAGCTATCCCAATGAACAACCAACCAGTGAGTTAGTCAACTCACTGTTTATGGAACAGCCAGATGATGCAGAGTAAGGTAACAAACACAGAAGACAGAGTTTACCACCTATGCAACCTTCCTATCTTATAGATTTTATTTATTTATTACCGAGGGAGAGAGCAGACTCTGAGCTGAGCATGAGCCCCACGTGGGGCTCAATCTCACGACCCTGAGATCACGACCTGAGCTGAAATCAAGAGTCGGGTGCTTAACCGACTGAGCCACCCAGGTGCCCCATAACCTTCCTATTTTAAAGAACAAATCCAGACACTTAAGTGAACCAGAGAGGGGTCTTTTTCTGAAAATCTACAGAGGAGGACCTATAAAGCTTCTGAAAGAGGCCTGCTATTATTCCTGGACTCCACTCTGATGGCTAAGTAAAAACAACAACAACAACAAAAAAACTGTATAAATATATACTTAATAAAATATATTACAGAGAAAGTATTGAAGAAAAGGATATGATGGTGAAAAGGCCAAACAGAACATTTATTCATGTTTGAACTGGGATTCTCTAATATTATGTTCTTTGTCTAATATCCTACTCTCACTTCTATTATTTTTCATTTTGCTTTTTAGTTTGCGTTGTTTTAATTGTTTCACGTGCGTATAACCGACACACAATATTACAGCACTTTCACGTGTACAACACACCATCTATGTTCTGCTAGGCACTTTGCTTTTTAAATTTCTCTAAATAGGTAGGGTTTTTTTTGGTCCTTTAATTCTCTACTTCAGAGTACCCTACTTCCCTTTCAAATGCTCAACATCTCTCTCTACATGTATTTGGAAAGTTCTTTTCTCATTATCCAATTCTTGAAAGTTGTTTAAGTCAGACAAATGTAAAAGTACCACATTTGTAAGCCTTGGAAAAGTATCCTTCCATATGAATTATTTATGAGGTCCTGTATTTAAGTTGTTTTTGTATTCAAGAAATTGAAATTACAAACATAGAGAAAGCAGGCTAAAAGTTAAGTACCTAGAAATTTCAAACATGCTCATTTTAAAAGGTTTACAAATAAGTACTTCATGACTGACTCAGAAATCCTTAAAAAACAGAATGATGATGTGGTCAGCCTATGAACCTTAAAACCTATAGTTATATATGTATTCAATGCTTATTTTAATTAATTAAGTAATTATTTTGGGGGGGGAGGGGCAGAGGGAGAATCTCAAGCAGGCTCCATGTCCAGCACAGGGCCCAATGTGGGGCTCAATCTCACAACCCTGAGATCAAAATCAAGAGTGGGACACTTAACTGACTGAGCCGCCCCGGCGCCCTATTTATTTTTTTAAATGTTATAGCCAGGTCTTTTTTTTAAATTAATTAATTTATTTTTAAGCAATCTCCACACCCAACGTGGGGCTCGGACTCTCAACCATGAGATCAAGAGTCGCATGCTCTTCCAACTGAGCCAGCCAGGCATCCCAGTGCTTAAATAGTTTAAAGTAAATGATAGGCAAAATATTTTTTAAAAAAGTCATCCTAACATTCTGCCCTTGAATACTTCAGTATGAATATCTAAAATATATAAAGCCAAAATAGCATTATAGCATTATAACTACCAAACTAATAATTCGTAAGTGAGACTGAGCTGTGGTATATTTTTTAGTAAATCTTTATGTCAGTTTTGGTACCAGTATCATCCTTGTTTCATAGGATAATAGGAAGTATTCCTTATTTTCTTCTTTGGAGAAATGTCTCTTCATGTCTTCTGCCCATTTTTAATTGGATAATTTGTTTATCTGGTGTTGAGTTGTGTAAATTTTTTAAAATATTTTATTTATTTATTTGACAGAGAGAGAGAGCACAAGCAGGGGGAGCAGCAGAGGAAGAGGGAGAAGCAGGCTCCCCATCAAGCAGGGAGCCCAATGCGGGGCTCGATCCCAGGACCGTGGGATCATGACCTGAGCCAAAGGCAGATGCTTAACTGACTGAGCCACCCAGGTGCCATGAGTTGTGTAAATTCTTGACATATTTTGGATACTATCCCTTTATCAGATAAGTCATTTGCAAATACCTCCCATTCAGTACGTTGTCTTTTGGTTTTGTTGACTGTTTCCTTTGCTGTGTAGAAGCTTTTTATTTTGATGTAGTCCCACAAAAAGAGTAGCACTGGCATATCCTGTTCTTTGAAAGAAACTGTCTCTTAATTAGTTTATTGTTTGCTTCCCCCTAGTTTTATTAGGGTATAAGTGACAAAACTGTATATGTAAGTGTACAACAGAGTGCTTTGATATATTTATGCACTGTGAAAATATTACCACCCTCAGGTTAACAACTCCATCACCTCACATACCATTTATTTAATGTGTGTGATGAGAACACTTAAGTCCTACTCTCTTGGCAAATTACAAGTGTGCAATACAGCATCATGAACTATAGTCATAATGCTCTACGTTAGACCTAAAGAACTGGTATATCTTGTACCTGAAGGTTTGTACTCTTTGACCACCATCTCTCCCATTTTTCCCACCCCGCAACCTGTGGTAATCACCATTCAACTCTGTTTCTGTTAGTTCATTTGTTTTTTTTTTTAAGACTTCATATATATGTGAGATCATGGTTCTGTCTGGTTTATTTCACGTAGCGTAATGTCCTCTAGGACCATCCATGTTGTCACCAATGACAGGATTGTGTTCTTTCTCATGGCTGTTTCATTACATCCACATAGATGTAGGTACAGATACAGATGTACAGGTACATGTAAATATAGATAGAAATAGATAAAAAATACCACAACTTCTTTATCCATTCAACCATTGGTGGATACTAAGGTTGTTTCCGTATTTTGGCTATTGTGAATGATGCAATGAACACAGGGGTGCATGTATCTTTTCGAGTTAAGTTTTCTCCCCTTGGAAAAATACCCAGAAGTAGAATTGCTGGATCATCTGGTAGTTCTATTTTTAATTTTTTACATTTACATTCTCACCAAAAGTGTACTAGGGTTCCCCTTTCTCCACATCCTTGCCAACATTTGTCATCTCTTCTATCTTTAATTAAAAGCCATCTTAACAGGTGTGAGGTGATATCTCATTATGGTCTTGATTTGCCTTCTTTGGTCCTTGGCCCATTTTTTAAATTGGATGATGATGATGATGATCATTTTTACTATTGAGTTGTATAAATTTTTTATATATTTTGGACAATGACACTTTAGCATAAATATGGTTTGCAAACATTTTCTCCCGTTCTGTGAGCTACCTTTTTTATTAATTGCTTCCCTTGCCGTGCAGAACTTTTTAGTTTGATGTAGTCCCCCTTGTTTATTTTTTCTTTTGTTGCCTAAGCTTTGGGTATACAAATAACCATTGCCAAGACCCCTGTCAAGGAGCTTTACCCCTATGCATTCTCCTTAGAGTTTCATGGTTTCAGGCATTACATTTAAAGTCTCTAATCCATTTTGGGTTAATTTTTGAGAGTGGTATAAGATAGAGGTCCAGTTTCATTCTTTTGCATATGACTCTCCAGTTTTCCCAATATGATTTATTGAAGAGATGATTTTTCTCCACTGTGTGTTCTTGTTCCCTTTGTCAGGGATTATTAACCGTTTATGCTGGGTTTATTTCTGGGCTCTCTATTGTGTCCCATTCTGCTATGTGTCTGTTTTCATGCCAGTACCATATTGTTTTGATTACTATACCTCTGCAATATATTCTGAGATCAGAAGTGTGATACCTCCAGCTTTGTTCTTTCTGAAGACTGCTATTGTTATTCTGGTTGTTTCATAGTTCCATGCAAATTTTAGGATTTTTTCTTTCAATTTCTGTGAAAAATACCAAAAAATTTAATAGAGATTATATTATTTACAGATCTCTTTGGGAAGCATGAATATTTTAATAACATTAATACTTCCAATCCACAACAATGGGATATTGTTCCATTTATCTGCATCTTCTTCAATTCTTTTATCAATGTCCTACAATTTTTAGCATATAGGTCTTTCCCCTCCTTGATTAAATTTATTCCTAAGGACTTTTCTTTGATGCTATTATAAATGGAATTGTTTTCTTAATTTCTTTCTCTAATAGTTTACTGTTAGTCTATAGAAACACAACTGACTTTTGTATATTAATTTTGTACTGAATTTGTTCATCAGTTTTAACAATTTTTTGGTAGGATCTTTAGGGTTTTCTGTATACAAGATCATGTTACCTGCAAACAGAAACGATTTCACTTTTTCTTTCTGATCTGGATAGCTTCGATTTCTTTTTCTTCCCTAACTGCTCCGGGTACATGTATATATTTGGTATTTCCTCTTGATGAACTAACGCCTTTATCATTACATAATAACCATCTTTGTCTCTTGTTAAAGTTTTTGAAGTTGAAGTGTATTTCTTCATAAGTATATCCACCCCTGCTCTATTTTGGTTTTCATTTGCATCAAATGTTATTTTTCCCATCTCTTCACTTTCAGCTCTTTCACTTTCGGCAGTCCATTAAAGCTGACGTGAGTCTCTTGTAAGCAGCATATAGTTAGGTCTTGCTTTTTATCCATTCAATTACTCTATTTCTTTTGGTTTGATAACCGATTTAAAGTACTTACTAATATGTAAGGTCTTACACGTCATTTTATTCGTATTCTGGCTATTTTATATTTTCTTTCTTCCTCTTTTGCTGTCTTCCCTTGTAATCTGATGATTCTCTGTATTGGTACACTTTGGTTCCTTTTTAAAAATTGCTTGAACACTACTATAAGTTTTTCCCTTATGGTTTCTATAACATATAACATTCTATTTTCAGCTGATAAGCTAACTCTGACCTCATACAAAAACTCTACTCCCTTCAACATTTTGTTTCTAATGTCACAATTTACATATTCTATATTGTATATGCGTTTAAAAATGCCATAGCTATAGTATGACTAATATTTTTGTCCTTTAACTTTTGTGGTAAAGTGATCTACATTATTACAGTGCCTGAGTTTGACTATACACTTGCTTTATCAGTGTTTTATATTTTCATGTTTGCATCCTTTCATTTCAACATAAAGAACTAATTTCAGCATTTCCTGGAAGGCAGGTCTTGTGGTAATGAACTCCCTCAGCTTTTGTTTGTCTGTGGAAATCTTTGTCTCTCCTTCATTTTGGAAGGACAGCTTTGCTGGGTATAGTATTTTTACTTGGTATTTTTATCCTTTAAGGACCAAATATATCAACCTACTCTCCTCCCAGCCTATAAGGTTTTTGCTGAGAAATCCACTGATAGGTTGATGGGTGTTCCTTTGACATAAGGAGTTTTTTGTCTCTTGCTGCTTTCAAAATTACAAAATTATCTGTGTCTTTGATTTTAGACATTTTATTATAATGTGTCTCAGTGAAGTACTCTTTGGGTTGAAAATATATGGGAATTACAGGCTTCATTAACTTTGATGCTCATTTCTCTCCACAGATTTGGAAAACTGTCAGCCATTATTTCTTCAAATAAGCTTTCTGTCTTTTCTCCCTCTTTGTCCTTCGGTGATTCCTCTAATGCATATGCATTGTTTCACTTGATGATATCCCATAATTCACATAGGCTTTCTTCACTTTTTCTTCATTCTTTTTACTTTTTTCTCCTCTGACTTTATAATTATAAATTACGTGTCTTCAAGTTCACAGAGTCTTTTGTTCTGTTTCTTTCTACTGCTGATGCTTTCTATTGCATTATTTTCATTTCATTCATTGTATTCTTCAGCTCCCCAATTACTCTTTGGTTCTTTTGTTGTTTTGTTTTGTTTTTATGATTTCTATCTCTCTGTTAAACTTCTTGTTTTATATATTGTTTTCCTGATTTTGCTGGGGTGTCTTTCTGTGTTTTCTGGAAGCTCACCGAGCTTCTTCAAAACAACTAATTTGAATTGTTTCTCAAGCAAATTGTAGATCTCCATTTCTTTTGGAGTAGTTACTAGAATATTATTTTGTTCCTTTACTGGTATTATTTCTTTGATTTTTCATGTTTCTTTAAGCCTTACATTGCCGTCTTAGCATTTGAAGAACTACTCACCTCCTCCAGTCTTTACTAACTGCCTTCGGGGGGAAAAATGCCTTCTGTCAGCCCTGCTAGGGATTCTGAGGCTTTATCATACCTTCTCTACGAATATGCCTACTCCAAACTTCTTGTCCCCTCTTAGGAGTGAATTCTTATGATTGTATGCCTTCTCCTAATTCCACGAAGCCAGGCTACATGCTATGAGTCTCCTGTTTGCTTTCCCTACAGCAGTGCTAAATGCCCAAGTTTGTATGTTCTCTTTCACTTCAACAGGGTTGAGCTGGCTTTCTACTTATTCTAACTGTCCTCAAAGACTTGTACTCTGCAGTTATAGGGTGGAGCACCATGTGGGTAAGGAGAATGAAATGTCAGAGATGCCCGTGGGTCCGATGGGGGGATTCACAGGTCAAGTGTTCCCATCAGCTAGTGGCCAGGCTTCCTAATGGAGTGTGTGATTAGTAAGATCTGTGTTCCTTGTTGAGTTCTGAACACTGGCCGTTATGCTCCCAGTCTCTCCCTGCCCCTCAGTCATAGAGATCACCCCTGTATTCTGAAAGAGTGAGAGAGAAGCGTCTTTGACAGCATCCTTCACAGCTGGGGAAGTAGGAGCCTCACTCACATGCTCTCACTCTTCCCTGGGGGACAACCTGCAGGCCGAGTTCGTCTTTTCGCACTGAGCTGTGTCACCTTGGAAATGGGGTGACATGGCAAATGTGAAACTGTTCTGCTTACTCTCTTCAGTGTTCCCAATCTCAAGATTTTTTTGTCCTCCCAGTGGTGTGCTGGAAGTTCTCTCCTGGATTCCTGGGTCCCACAAAGGTACTCTCACCTGTGTGTGATTGCCACCATCAGTGTTCTTTGGGGTAAAGATGGTAGAAAACTCCTGTTCCACCAGCTTGCTGATGCCACTCTCCTTGGATTTCCTGTTCTTCCAAGGTTTGGTAAAATTTCCCAGTGAAATTTTGGGGGTAGATCTTGAACAACATTCTCAAGTTTTTATTTGGAAGTTTGTCTATTTAGACATTACACCTCTCCTGGGGTGAGGTTTGGTAGATTACGTATTCACAGAGAATTATCCATTTCATTTACATTGTGAAATAAATTTATACATGGTGAAAAGGAGTGTGGCTTCTAAAATTTCCTGTTTCAATGGTTTATCCACCTCATTTATAATGTTTCTGTACCTGCTTCCCCTATCTGCAAACTTCTGTTTGGATCTTAATTATATAATTAAAAGTAATCAATGTCACTATAAGTTTGTGCCTACGTTCCCTCAATCATATCTTGGATATGGTCCTCTACTACAGGGTTGGCCACCTCCCCTTTTCTTGTAAAGGGCCAGATGGCAACTTTATGTTACTCTTTAATGTCCCCATTCAGTCTCATTGCATACTCTTCTGTTTATCTCAAAATTCTTTAGAATAAAAAAAAAAAGAATATAAATATATACTAGCAATAAGTGAAAGCTCTGGCTGCTGCACATTGTCATCAGGAATTGGTATTGTCAGCGTTTTGGAGTTTGTCAATTCCCTAATAACATACGATGTTGAACATCTTTTCATATACTTACTTCACATCTGTATTATCTTTTTTGGTGAGGGCCTTTTAGATATGTTGTGATTTTGTAGTTTACCTCACACAAACTTTGTACATATTTTGTTACATTCATACCTAACCATTTCATTTGGGGCAGACTGCTAATATGAATGGTATTGTGTTTTTTTTTTTTTAATGGACTGCTTCATGAATGTGTGTGTCATCCCTGCGCAGGGGCCATGCTAATCTTCTCTGTATCGTTCCAACTTTAGTATATGTGCTGCCAAAATGATCACAAATGGCATTGTTTTTAATTTCAAATTCCACTTACTCATTGCAGTTACATAGGAAAGTGACTCACTTTTCTATATTAACCTCATATCCTGTAACCTTGCAATAACTGCTTGACTTTTTTTTGGTATTTCTGATTTTCTGCATAGAATGATCATGTCATCTGCAAAGACAGTTTTATTTCTTCCTTCCCAATTTGTATACCTTTTTATTTCCTTTTACAGTCTTATTGCATTAGTTAGAACTTCTGGTACAATGATGAAAGTGGTTGTGAGAGAGAACCTTCTTGTCTTGTTGCTGACCTTAGCAGGAAAGTTTCAAGCGTCTTATCATTAAATAGGATGTTAGTTTTAGGCTCTTTGTGGATGTTCTTCACTAAATAGAAGAACTATTCCTAAGTTTCTAGAGATTTCCTATCAAGAATAGGTGGTAGATTTTGTCAAATGTTTTTCTGCATTTATTGATATGATGATGTGATTTTTCTTATTTAATCCCACTCCACTCTCATATCACACTGTATCATTTCAAGGATAGAGCCAGCACCTCATAATAACAAAATATTCCTAATTCCTCCCTCTCGTCCCTTGTATCTCGATGTCATTCAATTTACTTATATATATTACACACATTTAAGCATATATATCATATAAACATGCATGATTGAGTAATGTTATTATTTTGAACAAATATTTTACACAAATGTTATTTTGAACATAGAGTTTGACCCATTAGAGTAATTAAGAATAAAAAAATAAAAATTATTATTCCACTTTCACTTATTCATTCTCTGATGTTCTTTTCTTTATGTAGATCCAAGTTTCTGACCTATATCATTTCCTTCTCAAAATAACTTGTTTCAACATTCTTGCAGGTAGGTCTACTGGCAATAAATTCCCTTAATTTTTGTTTGAGGTTTTTATTTTTCACTAACTTTGTAAGGCTAACCGAGGAGGTTACAGAATTCTAGGACCCTGATTCTTTCCTCTCAGTATTTTATATACGTCACTCCACCCTCATCTTGCTTACATGGTTGCTGAAAAGAAGTCTGGTGTAATTCTTATTTTTGCTCTGCTATAAGTAGGACATTTTTTTCCCTTCCGTCTTTGAAGATTATTTATGGTTTTATGAAGTTTGAGTATAATAGGCCTATGTGAAGTTTTTTATTTTTGGTCTACCTGTGGAGGTTTTTTTTTTTGGTTGGAGGGCATCTATCCTATTTGGTGTTCTCTGAGCTTCCTGGATTTATGGTCTGGTGTCTGATGTTAATTTCTAGAAACTGTCAGTCACTATAGCTTTAAATATTGCTCCTGTTTTTTTCTCTGTTCCTTCTCCTTCTGATATTCCCATTTCATATATGTTATGCCTTTTGTCACTGTCCCACAGTACTTGAATATTCTCTATTGGATATTTTTTAGACTTTTTTTCAATTTCATTTTCAGTTTTGGAAGTTTCTATGTCATTCTCAAGGTCACTAATTCTTTCCTTAATTGTGTCTTGTCTATAATAAACCTATCAAAGGAATTCTTCATTTCTGTTATAGTACATTTGATTTCTAAGCATTTCTGTTTTATTCTTTCTTAGAATTTCCATCTCTCCTAGGGTTTCAAAGATGGCGGTGGAGTAGGCAGACCCTAGACTTGCCTCACCTGAAAAATACAACTAGGTAACTATTGAATCATCCTGAACACCTCAGAAATCAACCTGAAGACTGAAGGAACCAACTCCAAAACTAAGGGAAGAAAAGAGGCCACATCGAAGAGGTAGGAAGCACAGAGACATGGTTTAGGGGAGAAACCGATCATGAGTGTTGTGGGAGGGAGGGAGCAGAGGCGGCAGAGAAGGGCAAGAGAGAGGAGCACACAGGGGGACGGACAAAAAACATTTCCCCAAAGCCACTGACTTGGAAAATGAGAGGGGCTAAATTTCGTGAGTTCTTGCAATCAGCAGGGCTTAAAACCTGTTGTTTTAGAGGTCAGCGGACTTGGCTGCAATAGAGCCCAGAGGGCACTGTCCAAATCCTGGAAGGAAGACAAGCAAACAACCTGAGGGACAGACAGCATGGAAACGGATCTGAAGAGTGTCTGGGGCACACAGTGGAGAGATTATTTGCTCTTCTTGGAACATGCCCCTGAAGAGCTGTATTTAAGCGGATGCCTCTCCAGGAACAAAGGAGCTAGCTGGTGCCATTTCTCTCTCCTGACCTGAAGCATAAAGGGAGTCACTTGTAGGAAGCAGTGCAGTGGCAAACACTGGCTGCCTAACTTTTTGCACCAAGAAGCCCTACCCCCCTGTGCTCTGGTGAGACTGCCCTTCCAGTCACACTTCCTTCAGTCCCAGTGCAGAGGGTCCTTCCTCCAAAGACCAGCAAAAACTCATGCCCACATCACGTCTCCCAAACAGGGAGTTCCGCAGGGCCTCAGTTCCAGTGGAGGTAGTGACAGGCTTCATTTCAAAAGCAGAAGAGCACGCCTAGTTAAAACTTGCCACATTCAGGCCAGGCACCAAACACTGCTCACAGCAGGCAAGGACAGCCTCTGCAAGCGACTGGTCTGAAGGACAGAGAAGCCATAAACATCAGTACAGTGCATGCAGCACACACCAGACACACTCCCTGAAGTGCCAGGCCTTGGGCACTACATGAACACTTTTCATAAGGCCATTACATTCAGGAGCATGAAACATAAATGGCTTTTCTAACACAGAGAAGAAGGCAGAGATTTAGACAAAATGCGAAGACAGAAGAATTTGTCACAAATGAACAAGATAAGGCCATGGCCAGAGATCTAAGTGAAACAGATATAAGTAACATGCCTGATGGAGAATTTAAAGCAATGATTATAAGGATACTCACTGGGCTTGGGGCAAAGCACAGAAGACATCAGTGAGATCCTTACCATAGAGACAAAAGTTAAAAAAGAATCAATCAGAGATGAAGAGTGCAATAAAAGAGATCAGAAACACAATTAAGAAATAAACAGCAGGCTGGAAGAAGTAGAGGAACAAACTAATGACCCAGAAGACAATGTAACGGAAAGAAATGAAGCTGCATGAAAGAGAAAAAGGAGAATTATGCAACATGAGAATAGATTTAGGGACCTCAGTAACTCCATCAAATGTAGTAATATCTTTATTATAGGGGTCCCAGAAGAAGAAGAGAGAGAAAAGGGGAAAGAAAATTTATTTGAAAAAATAATAGCTGAAAACGTCCCTAAATTGGGGTAGAAAACAGAAAGCCAGATACAGGAGGCACAGAGAACCCTGAGCAAAATCAACAAAAGAAGGTCAATACCAAGACACACTGTAACTATATTTGCAAAACATATTGATAAAGAAAAAAATCTTAAAAGCAGCGAGACAAAAAAAGTCTTTGACTTACAAGGGAAACCCCATAAGGCTAGCAGGAGATTTTTTTTCAACAGAAACATGGCAAGCCAGATGGGAGTGGAATGATACATTCAACATGCTGAATGGGAAAAGTATGCAGCCAGGAATACTCTATCAAGCAAAGCTATCATTCAGACTAGAAGGAGAGATAAAGAGTTTTCCAGACAAAAACTAAAACCACTAAACCAGCCCTGCAAGAAACATTAAAGGGGACTTTTTGAGTGGAAAGGAGAGACCAAAATTGAAAAATACAAGAAAAGATTAGAAAAAAAATCTCTAGAAAGAATGACAAAACAATAAAATGGCACTAAATACATTATCTATCAATAATTACTCTGAATATTTGTAAATGGACTAAATGCTCCAATCCACAGACACAGAGTAACAGAATGCATTAAAAAGAAAAAACAAGACTCATCATATGCTGCCTACAAAAGACTGACTTTATTTTATTTAAATTCAAGTAGCCAACATATAGTACATAATTAGTTGTTGATGTAGTGTTCAATGATTCATCAGTTGCGTATAACACCCAGTGCTCATCACATCACGTGCCCTCCTTAATGCCCATCACCCAGTTACCCCATCCCCCACCCACCTCCCTTTCCACAACCCTCAGTTTGGTTCCCGGAGTCCAGAGTCTCTCATGGTCTGTCTCCCTCTCTGATTTCTTCCCATTCAGTTTTCCCTCCCTTCCCCTATGATCCTCTGCACTAATTCTTATATTCCACATATAAGTGGAACCATATAATTGAAAGGACTCACTTTAGACCTAAAGTGACATGTACATTGAAAGTGAAGGGACGGAAAGTGAAGGGACGGAGAAATATTTATAATGCAAAGAGATGACAAAAGAAAGCCAGAGTTAGCAATATTTATATCAAACTAGATTTTAAACCCAAGACTGTAATAAGAGACAAAGAAGAACACTATAGGGTAGGAGTTAAGGTGGCAAAAGATTAGGGGGACCCTAAGCTTGTGTCGTCCCTCAGACACAGCTAGATATTTATCAAATCATTCTGAACACCCAAGAAATCAGTCAGAAGTCTGAGAGAACGAAAACTGCAAGTCTACAAGCAGAAAAGCGACCATCTTTTGGAGGTTAGGAGGTGCGGAGAGTTGAACTGGGAGAGATAAAGCTATGGAAACAGTGGCAGGGAGGAAGCCTACTCGCAGAAGCTACCACAAAGCATTATAAGCAAAATCTGAACTTTCAGAAGTCTGCTACAGTGGGGAACATGCCAGGATCAAAGGTGCTCAGGTGTGAAGTGGGGCAGAATCCCAGGTGTGACACCGTGGTCTGAGGATCCCTTGGTTTGCAAGAACGGGTGGCGCCTAAGTGCTGCATTGTTCCCAGGCACTGGAGTATGGCAGCCAGCTGAGAACAGCGAGTGTTGGTGCCAGTTTTCTGCTCTGTTTTGGACATAAATTTAGAAAGGCTGGATGGTTGTGTGACCACTTTCCTGGCATGGCCCAGCAAATGGCAAAAGCATGGTGACACCCTTCCCTGGAGGAACAGTATGGATCTGCGCTAGAGAAGTCGATAAAATTTGGAGTTTTGAAACTCAGTTTTGCACCTGAGGAAAAAAAACCTCAGACACAGGCAAGGTGAATGTAGGGT